TATATTTCACATAAACTAACAAGTTTTGATAAATCTAGGAGGCCCTGAGATGTGACTGTAACAATCCATATGCTCATATATGGGGACTAGGACAAAAGAGATAAAGATGTGGGCTGAGTGAGAGAGAAAAATCAAAAGGGTTTGTCAATAACTATGGTAACTGAAAAGCAAGCCCTACTCTAGCATTGGAATAATGTGCTGTGGCATGATTACTGGCCCTTTTGGAAAACCCAGAAGTCATGTCTGCAAACGCAGCTTTCTGCACTGTGGAGGTTCCCCCGTAGAGCCACTTTTGTGCTCATGGCATCCTCTAGATAGATTCTTCTAGCCTCAGGGCTGAGCTGCACTACTCTGGGCCACTCAGTTCATTATGCATTTCTTCCTGTCAGTATGACTTACAGTGTGTCCATACAGGACTTTAAACACAGTTCTGTGGAACTGGTGGGCATTGTCCACTTCTGCACATGCCAGTGATAAAAGGAATTTAAAACCAGTGTCACCATCTTTTTCCTGAGGTGTGTTTAGCTTTTCTGTCATATTTTGATACAGTCTTAGGGTATGGATATATTAAACAATTTAGTGTGGGATCAAAGGGATCCCCATCTTACTACGAATTTGTGATAATTATCCATGTATGCACATTTATCCTGTGATTAGTGAAAGCTAGGTGGCAGTAGGTGAGCCCTTAATGAAAGAGGGGTAAGTTATCACAGATAATTCTCAATTACAGTGAAGCAGCTGACATGCAGTAAAGCCTGCTCTCTCTTCCCCAACAGTAAGTTATTCAGATGTCCATCTACATCGAATAGTGTAAAAATGATGTTGCATAGAACAACTTCGGGATTTGAATTTAAGAATTCAAGACCATCCCTATGTGTTAACTCCCACCCTCCAAAAAGACTGAGGGTGGAATGTCCTCGATCTTGACTTCCTTCTAGTGTTCAGGTCAGATTGGAAGTCTTCTTTAGGGCCACATCTAGTCCATAGCTTCCTTTCATTTTATTCTTTGTTAGTGATTACACAACCCTGCATAGCTATTAAAATCCTTACTTTAAATATATATTTGGAATTTTTTTCTGGATTTGGTACTCACTAATGCAGGCCCTAATGAAATGTGCCTGTAAACATTTAAATTTAAAATGTGTCTAAAACATTAATTGTGTTTGGAAGCCATCTACAATACACAACTTCTACACAAAAGCAGCTTCCTTTTTTAATAAACAATCTGCAATAATAAGGCCCTTGAAATGAGTGCTCAGAGATCCATGACTCCACTAATGCTTTGTGAAAATGGAGTAGAATGCTCTAAATAGAATACAGGTGTTTATCCAGAGAGGTGTCAAACTTGGTTAATGTAAGATAACAGACTTCCCAGTATAAATGACAGTGGCACAGGGAACACATTTTTCATTTTACGCATAGACAGCATGAAAAGACCCTTCCCTGCAAATGAATTACATTAGGCAATGAAGTTGAGATTTTCCAGGGCCAGAGCCCACCAATACAGTCTCTTATCCCCTTGTTAATAAATATTGGATGCTTGGTAGATAACCCTAGACTACCATTCTATTTGCAAATAGAAAATTGCATTTCCTTTGAATGTAATGGGAAAGAATGATAATTAATCCACTAAAAATAAGAATTGAGTCTTGTGACCTATGCCCATGTTAGCACAGAATTTTTCACATAAGTAAGGACTTATGTGTCTGAAAGTTGCAGAATCAGGGTGTAGGTAAGGCACTAAAAATATGTACAATGCATAAACATCCATAATATACCATGCAGCTGACAACAGTAAAACAGGATCAATTATTCATGCTTCAGACACAAGGAACAGTGTAAGCATATTTCCAACATATGCAGAGGAAAATGTGCCTAATAATAAGCCTAAGATACCCATAAAAATTTGCCTTCAGCCCTAATCAACACCCTGGGTGCAATCAGTTGTTCAATAAGAATGAAGTTAATATCTTAAAGTCTTACCCTCTTCCTTCACTAGAAGTCGCTTTGTGGGCAAACCTCTGGTGTGAGAACATAGATCTCTGCAGCAACTTTCTACTGATAAATTATGATGATGTATTTTCTGCTAATAAACTATGATGATGTACTAGTCCACCTTCTTTTTCCAATAGCCATCTTCAGTACTTGAAGGCTGTAAAATTAATTTGAGACTTAATGTACTTCTTAATGTGCCTCTGCTTAAATGTGCCAAACCTCCATGTTCCCAGTAGGCCAGTGCCAGGGGAAGGGACTTTCAGAGCTATTAAATCCTCTGTGCCCCACAGCTCATCTGGAGGGTGCTAGGGGGGCATGGCTCCTGCCACTGCATGCATCCTCAGGTGGTCACAGGGGGTATGTGCCCCCCAGATGTATGTGGGGTGGGGCAGGCTGCAGCTGCAGGCTAGAGCCGGGACTACACAGGGCTCTTAGTGGGTGCAGAGCCAAGGTGGGTTTCAGGCAGGAGGTGGTGGTGCTGGAAGGGGGCTATTGGGGGCTACAGAAAAATTCAGAGTGGCTGCCCCCCCCCCATAGCCCCCGCCCAATGTTGCCACCACCCAACCCAAGCCCAGCCTCCATCAAGAAAAGCTGAGCATAGCCCCAGCTGCAGCTTGCAGCTGAAGTCTGCCTGCCCCACCCCACACAGATCCGGGGGCGCCTTCCCGCCCCCCCCCCACCCCGTGCCCTTCCTGCCTGAGCACAGCAGCCTCCCCAATCCCTGTATGAGCTGCAGCACCATTCCATGCCCACTCTGCCCCACTTCCTCACTATGGGGGGCATTGATCTGCCGCCCCATACCCCTTCCCTCCCCCCTTCCCCTTCTATCACACCAGATTTACCAACTCCATGCAGCTCTCCAAGTTGTCAGCTTCTGCTGCTCACTGCCTGCATGCTGCACGTATGCATGGGCATTCATTGACTAAATTATTTGCTGCATGTAGAACCTAAACCCTTATTTCCCATAGATCCTTGGTATCTTCTTACGCAATTTCTATTTTCACGGTGTTTTTTCAAGAATGTAACGACCATGTAAATTGAGGCCCAACTGTACAGTCATACCATGTATTCTAGTGGTCCTTAGGAAACCAGAATGTCTTTGTAAATCTAGGGTTCACCACATTTAGGTCTGCTTCTGACTTCTTTAGGGAAAAATGGTAAGTCTGCATGTATTATAAAGGCTTTAATGATTATCTGTAAAGTGAAGTGTCATTTACAGTTAAAGACTTTCTTTTTCTCTTGCCTTTGGTGATGAGTTAGACTTCAAAACACAGGAACCAAATGGTCAGCAGAAGAGAAATGGTTCAGAGTGGACCTACACTACTTTGATCACTAAATGCTTACCGAAAAAAGCACTAGCTCTCATGCTGATAAAGTAAATTTAAAAGAGTCTTTCTTCCTACTTCCCCTTGAGCTGTACTTTTTGCCTCGCTTATTTCAGGTTAGACTGAAGCAGGGTTTGATGTTGAGTGCTTTAAAGTTAATTGCGTGGATAGATTATGGGGCATAAATGTATAGTTGTTACTGCAGACAACAAAAATGTTCAGTTCATCTGGAACAGGCCCTGTGATAAAGTGCCTGTGTGTGTGTGGGGGGGCGTGTTTTATTTTGTTTTGTTTTTGTGGTGCTTCATCAATTAATGTGACTCTCTTTCCCCATCTCTTTGTGTAGGTTACTCTGCCATATTCTTATTGGTAAGAGTGCCGTTAAAAATACTTTTGATCTGTGATCAGTTCTGGGGGGAGAGGGGTGAATAAAAGAACAATTCAAATGTAAATTTTACAAGATGCATTTTGTTTGCTGCTTTCTGTGGCTAAGTTGTATTTTCATAGAAATTATTCAGCACGTGTTGTAAAAGAGCAATTGATAAAATGAAATTGGAAGTTAGTTTCTTTGGACAGATAAGACAGTGTCCAGAAATACAAAAAATACCAAATAGCTCAAATATTCAGCTACAAACTTTGCATTGTCATTAAACATCTGAAGCTGTACAAAATTTCATATAGGACATAAACAATTTTTTCAAAGACAAGCTTTTAAAGTTTTTTTTCAGATATCAGCCATATCATTTTTATTTTGCTTCCCTAGATTTTAATTTTTTTTGAGAAACAAAAAGATACTTTCCCTGAAATAATTGTTAAAATGACCACTGAATATGTGAGAGAATGAATCTACAAGATGCAACCAAAAACTTGAAACTGAAAATCTTTCTAGTTATGAAAGGGTTGCTCATTGTGAAATGGTGGGAGGGAATCACCTAGCTCTGTAGAAAATATATAATGCATCTGTATACATCCTGTCTATGAATAAAATTAATCTATTTAGGCATTTCTTGTTGAGATCTGGGCAAGTCTCAAAAAATTGATGATACTCAGTATTTGATAGCCAGAAATCTACATATACAGCAATTTCCCACCATACTGTGAAGAGCTTTATTTATCAAGCTGTTTGAAGAGTTACAAGGTTTCTTGTGCATCATATATCTTTTTATGGATTAAAATACCCTAGGGTGGTATTCATGACTCCTTGGTTCACTTTTTGAAGTTTAATAGCAGCAACTGTAAAAATTTATATATTGATTATGGAGCAGATGAACCACAGTTTCTCAGAGGGGCAGATTCTGATGCCCTTACTCAGAATTAATCATCCATGTTCCACTGAAGTCTGACAAGTAAAGGGACTACTCATGAGAATCTGCTAGAGTAAGAACACAGACAATTCCCTCTCTTTTTCTTCAAGGACTTAGCCAGTTTCAGGAGCTCTAGAGTCCATGGAGCTCAGACTTCAGCAATAGCTACTTGCAAAACCATTTTCTAGTACTGCCTGGCAGTCATGTTACTGATTGTAAAATGAGAAAGTGAAGGGTGGGGAAATGCTGGAGACTGTTTTTCTTCCTAGCAGTTAAAAAGGTAGTCTTCCATTTTAAGTTACAAAGCTTCAAAATTCTTTTATATAATTTAAATAGAACTACCCTGGACATCTCAGTGGGCATTTAGAACAAGCAAGTTCCTTTTTCTGTCAACTCTTTGTGAACAAAAATTTGAAGAGTAATTCATAAGGAAAATAACATGTTTTTCTGGTTGTATAATTTCACTATAGAAGTTTTAATGCCCTAGTGTCAAGATTTTGTCATTTGTATTCTTTTTGTTGCAGGGAAAAACAGACCATTTTAAATATTTTTGCAAAAGCCAAGAGAGAGATTTGAGAAATAACCAATAGTCTGGTGGTTAACGTAATGAATGCTTAGTTATTTATATCAAGTGGAACGGCTCCAGCTAGAGAGATTAAGAGAAAATATGACTGTAAGGCACTCAATTAAGAAATGGAAGAGGCAAGCTGAAGTCTCCCTACTCCATATTTCTTGACCAAATATAGAATGATAACTGAATCCTAGAATCAGGAAACCTCACAGGTAATGGTTTTGTTACAGCTGATACATTTCTGTGTAAAATTTTAGTTTGGAGAAATCAACATTTTCTAAACCAAACATATGTTGAAAATTCCCTACCTGCTCTATTTGAGGTAATTTGGTAGAGCATATGAAGAAAAAATATTAGCTGTTCTAGGATGTCTCTCTCTTTCTCTCTCTCTCTCTCATTTTAACAGTTGTTTTTTTTCCTGGATCTGAGACACCCTGACAAAATTGAAAAGTGGGGGAAAGTTTTGGTTTTTCTGACCAGCTCTGCTATGAAAGTCAATTTACTAATGCTGTGAAAAGGCACCAATTTATGGCTGTGCTAACTGCAAGTGTGTTCAGAGGATGTGAAGACTCTGACTTTGTAAAATAAATAAATAGCATTTCACCTTGAAGCCGGAAGCAGATGGGCCAAGGATCTCAGTGGGCACAAGTCTGCTATCTTTGTCAAAGACAGGGCTGGGCCAGGGAACCTTGTTGTCTCTTAAATGGAAGACCTGTGATGTTTTGGGTCTCTAGTCAACAGTATTCATGAAATTTATAAGTGGTTCCTCCCTTACTCCCCACCTCCCCATACCAGAGTCTTTTCACTCCTATCAAAGAATAAAATGTCTGCTGTTACAGAAAAAAATAAAGTTCCCATGAGTGGAGCCCAAAGTTTGTCTTTGTTTGAATGATTACAGAGCTTTGATATGTGCATTTGGGCTATGCACAGACAATCAAAACGGCTGAGCCTGAATTGATTCAGTCTTTGCAGGTTGAGATTAAATTGATTTACAAGTGAACAGACATTCACTTTTGAATCAGGAAATACAGACACATGTCTGCAGTGGCTCAGGCTAGAAGCCAGGGGGCACTAGAGCAAGCTCTCCCTTCCCTTCCTTTCCACAGTGCTGAGCTTAGAGAATAGAGACATGGCCAGGCCCTGGCAGGATTCTGTCATTAGGGAGGGGTTTAAACCCCCACCCTAGCCTACACACAGTCCCCAGGCAGGGTGTGCCTGAAGGGGGAGGGGGAAGCAGCCATCACCAGGCTTTTCCCTACTTGCTGCTCAAGGGGCAGGGAATGTTGCCAGACCCCACCCCTGGCTAGCACTCTGAGTCAAAAGGGGACTTTGGGGAAGGAGGACTGCTTGTGTGGATTGCATGCATCTGTTAATGATACTGAGCCGTTCAATCTCCCTCTCTCTGCTTCTTCATAATGTCTGCAGTAAACTGATGGGCACTCACAGGTCCCATGCATTGCAAACCAGGTCATTTATCACACCTCTTTGAGTCCCCTCTTGAACACTGACAGATTGCAGCCTTTGAAGCAAGCAAGCCAGCAAGGAGCTTATCAGAACACAAAGCTTATTAGCCAATCAAGAAAACAAAAACCTCTCTCATTAGTTCAAGCTCTTCTTAAACAGCTTTTTCCAAGGCATTTGTAAGGAAAAGCAGAGAGACATTACCAGCTGTCCTGTTGATTAGTTCCAAAAAGCCCTAAGTGAACACCGTTCTGTCCGCCTTTGTTCCAGTGAAATTGGGGACTCGCACATAGACACCCCTCAGCATAACCTAGCATGGGGGTGGCATGGCCAGATGCTGGCTAGGGTATGTGCTGCTGGGGTCCCTGCTCTTGGAAAGGGCAAATCCCTGCTTGAGCAGTAAGCGAGGGGAGGGTGGGACAGGGAGAAGCCAGGCAGATGCTGCTGTGCCTGGAGAGTCCACCTACTTCTCAGCCACCTGGAGCTCCAGTTAGGA